GAAAAAAATGTCTTCAATAATATACATGTATGTATATACACATATATATATATATATATGTATATATATATATATATATATATATATATATATATATATAGTTCAATGTCTTTTATATTTTACCATATTTTTCTTTAAAATAGACAAACAGATTTTCATACAAGACTACATCTATTTCAAAAAGACCTTAATTTCGTTTATGGTTTTTATATTTGTTAATTTTCCCATTTTTTTCTTTAGACATCTCCTCTTGGTTTATCTTCGCAATGCTAAGATCGTACTGAACCTACATTGGTAAGAATTGAAGAAACCAGAACGAAAATTGGAAGAAAAGAAAAGTGGCCAATTGAGATAGTCGTAAGGTAAAACTAAGAGGAAACGGAGTAATATGAAGGGACGGTCTCCCTAGGAGATAAAAGTCGATTTTGGATGGCACTCTAGTCTGCAACGATGAGAAGAAGAGCTTCTTTTTTATATCAGCAAACTCAACCGAATATTTGCTTACCGACAGAATATTGACATTATATGTATAGCATAGAAAAATAATATATAATCATAAACGCACAAGGAAGATAGTTTTAGTTATATAATACTGCTGTTTTAATTATATAATACAATTTTAGTTATATAATGCTATTTTATTGAAATATGCAGTTTTTATTATTAACATTTATTCACGATTATCAGCGTAAATAATTGTAAAAAATATAATTCACGTTTTAATACTGACGTTTTATATACTGTATAAAACTTAAATAATTATCGTTTTATATATTTTATTATATAATAATGACAAAACATTATTACTATTTATTTTGTAATTCTCTAATTAATCTTATTAAAAAGACCTTTTATTTTATACTGTCTTAAAAAATTGAGAAATTGAAGAATAAGTTTTCGTGTAAATTTATAATATAAAAAATTTGTATATTTTATTTTATTTTGCACTTTCTCAGTTATTGCGAAAAAAATTTAAATATTTGTATATGTAGGATATAATTTTTTTTGCATACGTAATGGCAGAATTTTATATTCTTTCGTATTTTTGCCCTATATTCTTAAAATTCCACAAGCGTATATAAAGCAGTTCGGCCAAATCGGAGATAAAAAACGGTATACGGAGATAAGAGACGGGATAAAAAAACATAATCGATAAGCAACACAATTCTTTTTTTGTTTGGCGAGCTATCTCTGTGGTTATGTGACACATAAATTAGGTAATGCTTCAGCCATTCAGTAATGTCAAAAGTTTCTTAAGCGCTGTCTTACATCACTGTCTTACATTACTGTACTACAACTACATCTTGAACTAATTTGATATAACCTGCAGAGGTCACAAAGTCTGATATACAAAGGTGGCAAATAAGCATATGCGCCTATCCGCAATACATGCTGCAGAGAACCGCAGTAATTGCTTATCAAATCCCTTCTGATATAGGTATTAATAACACCTGAGTCACATATAAAAAGTTAGAGATATTCAATTATATAAATTAACAAAACTTTATATACAAATAAGTTTTAAAAATATTGATAATGAATGGGTAATAATTAATATTTCTTTAAATTTTTTATGCAGGATCGTAGAAAATTATCATATTATATATATACAATATTATCATTATAATTATTAAATTTATTTCTATATATAATAATATTATGTAAAAAATAATATAATGTATTAATAAATCAATTTTGCATTACAATGCATCTTTCTACAATATTATTTCTACAATTCTAAATCATAGATTTTTACATATTTTTCAACATCGCTCATATAAACTTAAACTGAAAGAATGTGCTATGTTATTGTATATTTCCACTTCTATTCGTATTATCTTTCAGTGTAATTGCAGAATCACAAAGAGACGTATTCATCTTCATATTTTATTGAGTTATATATTTTCTTTGTAACAGCTGACAGATAACTAAAGAAAGGTCTAGCTAGGATTGTAAAACGTCCGGATATAAATATCAATCTCTTTTTACATAGCTAAAGATATAAGTCCATCTTTGTTTTCAACGAACCACAAGCAATAAATTATATTTTTAGGTAAGGAATGCAGGACTTTGATACATTTCTTTTCTTCGTAGCTATTTCTTCTTCAAAGATTTCGAAACTCGCAAAACTGCTTCAACTTTATCCCGAACTCGACGAGCTTATTCTTATTTTATATTTTTCTCTTTTATTCGCAGTATTGCGAAGAGTTATGGCAAGCATATCGAGCATAATTGCTACCGTTTCTACTTAATAATAATGCAAAATTGATTACAGTTTTATCAACTTCGAATCGATTGCACAGCTGAACTTCGATAATTCGCTTATTAATGATGCGACGTTGCAAACGTTGCGTATCTTAGACACAAATAGCAAAATTTTATTATTTATACATATATTATTACATCTACATTAAAACTATTATTGTTGGCTGATTGATAAATAAGGTCCATTTTATTTAACAAACTGAAAATTTTTATATTAAAATTATTTACAATAAATAATCGGTATATATTCTTCATTATTATAAGTATAACTTGTTCTTATTTAGACGATAATTTATTAATTTTTCTTTAAAGAATTTTCGAGGTTTAATGCACAAAAAAAGGTTTTATAAATTCATCAATTTCAGTATCATCAAATTCATTAAATAAAACTTTTTTTTATTTAATGAATTTCGACCTAAATAGATAAAAATCTGATAGGGCAATATCTGGGAAATAGAGAGAATGAAGTCAAACTGACCACAAAAGCTCCTGAATTTTTTTTCTGGGTTATTTTAGTCGTAGGTCAAGCGTTGTCGTGTAGCAAAATCACATTTTTGCAATTGATGAGAACTGATAACATTTTTTGCAATTTTTCTTGTACTCACTCTAGTTGCTGCATATATATACAAGTATCTGCTCTGTTTCAGTTTAAAAATTTAGTCAATTAGTTTTTCAAAAGTGATTCAATAAATTATATCTAGCGAAACTTATTTATGAATCAATATATGTACAATATAAGTAATAATTTTTAAAAATGTATACACAATGTGCAATAAATTGATATTGTATGGTCATAAATTTTTTTAAATAATACTAGTATTTGTATATTTTATAAGCAGAGTTACTTTATTTAAGTTTTTTTATTTGTTAATAAATATATAATAGGATAATATATCTCAATATGTGTGTATGAATTAATATATTTTTATGCTTATTTTTCTGATAATTTCCTTTTCTTACATTGAAAAGCAGAATGGTTTTGGACTCTACGATTTTTATCTTCTCTCAGCAAATCTCTGAGAATAATGATATTCCTCATCCCCTTTTTATCCTTATCGATCCTTGATCGTTTCTTCATTCAGTCGAGAAAGCTCATGTGCATACGAAGCACATAGCTTGAAAGTTCTTAGCTTCAAAGCAATTTCAAAGAACTTTGCTCGACAAGTAGCTCTACGAGCGATCTAGTTGCTATTTTATCACCTTTACTTACATCGGATGGTAATTTATAAACTTGGAAGTAAGACTGTGTAACGACTGTCAAGTGCACAAGCCAAATGCATTCGAATATAAATTTTCAAAATTGGTAGTTACGTTAATTGCTGTCATACATTGTAATCAATCGACAGATCGTAGTTAAGATAAAGGGGCAATATTGTGGGGTAAAGCGTAACATATAGAATTCTATACGTATATCTCTCAATCTAGAGAAATGAGAAAAAGGGAGACAATCTGAACCCACTGCTATGTGAATTTATAGGCAGTCGTTATAAAATCCGCATTAAATCCAGAAAAATGAACTCATTAACCTTTAATTCTTCTTGATTTAACCTCAATTGATTTAGCAGTAAGTTAGAAAGCTAGATTTATAGTAGCTATTTTGTTCAATCAAGTCAAAAAATATTCTATAAAAACTGTACAAAATATATAATGTAATAAATGTGAATCGTTAATATAAAAATATATATAATAATTTAAATGTAATATAGAAAAATGTATTTTATTATGTGTGTCAATTTTTAATACTTTATTATACTTGTAATATTATACTTTGCAATTTTTTTTTAATTCGAGAGAATTATATATATATATATACAGGTATATATATATATATACTCTTTCGCATTTTATATAATATACATTTTTTAAATTTTAATATTTCTTTTTTGAAACACAACAGTGTTTCAAATGTATGTATAATAATTAATAATGTAACATATACATATAATAAAATATGTTTTTGAAAGAAAAATATTACAGCATGATTTTATTAAGCAGAATTTTCTTAGAAATAATTGTTTGTTTTTAAATAAAAGTATTTTCTTAAAAAAATTTCTTTTTTTATTTTGTAAAACTAGAAAAAGCATTTATAATTGTGTGTTGCTTATAAAATTGGAATAAAATATTGATTTTATTACAATTATTATATGCTATTTCAGAAATGCAAACTGCATTTTCTCGCCGACTCATTTTCAATCTTTCTAACGCAGCACAAGTACAACTAATGCATGTGTCTCTTCTTTGCCTGTTTCAGATACTAACACAAGCGAACTCACAACTCACACTAACCAACTACGACTATTGAGAACAAGCATTATGATCTCGTCCAGGGCTTTATGCCAACGCCCTAAGTCCTGAATGTAAAATGGGTTTATTGCGCTTTGCGCAATAAAGAACAGGGGCAAATTCGCACATTATTCAATGAATAAATTGTCGAGCTACTAAATAAACCGTGGGTTATCAAAGTTCAATCCATGGATATTTTATCGTAGGAATTGATTTTAATGTTATACTTCTGAAAGAAATAGTCGACGTGTTTAAAGTGTTGGAACGCGTGTCAGGGTGAGCATTTGATAGAATTCTTGAATGAGAGAGAAATCTTTCTTCAAGTATATTTATTTAATAGAAAATCTATTAATCGCATAAAAATCAGATATAAATCGGATATTATCTGTATTCAAGATGCAAACACACAAATATACATATACAATACGTATATATGTGTCTGTGTATCCTAAATGCGGATGCGTCTGATCATACTCCTGCTTATATCACTTGAATTCATAGATAGTGATCAAGCGTATCTTTCGCAATTGTCAGGCAATATCAGTTTAACAGTAAAAATAGCCTTGCATCGAATGCAAGAGCATTCTTTCTGGTAAGAAGAATTATGCGTTAAAATTGTCGCGAGTGGGTGAAAGTGCAGAAAGGTAGTTCCGTTCCAATTGCAATCCTTGTAAATTGTTGACTATTTGACGTGAATTTCGAGAGTGCAGGTGTATCCGGCCGGAAAGTATGCTTCTGGAAGCAGCAGACGGAATACGGAAAGCGCGGAAAAAGCAAGAAAATTTGCTGACTGCATGCACTGTATGCACAGTTCCCATTGAAAAATCGATAAAGTCGCCGACGAAGTGAATACAAAATCTGTTCAATATACTCTTTTATTACAAAAGTCACTTGTATTCAATAATTGCGTTAAATATTATGTTTATCAGATTAAATCACGATTTAATTATTTCCGCCTATCTCATCAGCTCAATATATACACATAATATATATATATACATACTTCAGAAATAATATACAATAAATCACAAGCACGACGATACGTCGCGTAATAAAAAAAAGATTACATAAAATCATAATACGGTTTATATTACGTAAAGTTACAGCAAAAAAAGAAAAGTTACTCGCGAAAGGGATGAAAAAAAACTATTTGATGCGCCTTAAAGTACAACCGTAAAAGACAAGTGGAAGTTTATCGATAAAACAAGGAATTGAGAAAAAGATGGTATAGGGGTCCTGACAGTCCTACGAAATATCTTGCAGAATTTCTCTTGGAAGCCTGCGGCGACGTAACGAGCGGGGCCCTCGTCGAGAGAAAAGGGCTCCGCGAGAAGAGGGCCGGATAAACGTATCTCTGGGTCCGTCGTGGTGTTGTCCGCCGGGGGTGGCGGTAGCGGTGGGGGAGGAGGAGGTTGCAGGCGTCGTGATTTGGAACGTCGATCGGGTGGCGGTCGGGGTGTTCCCTGTCTTGCCACCATCAGCTCTTCTGTCGCAGGAACCGCCGGGGGTTGCGGCCCCGTGGTGGGGTTGCCCTCCTACAAAAAGCGCCAAGGTACTGCGGCATTCTATCACAATTGAAAGTTGAAAACCAGGGGAATACCAAATAGATACGAAGAATATATAATATTCCGCGTTGCAACGCGCAAACAACAGAATCTTCAATTTATATCAATTCCATATCTGCATTTTTATTAATTTATATAGTATTTTTGTATGTTTAATATACTTGATATTAAGCTGCTATTTTTATAGTATATATGAAAAACAATATTTTGATTTCTGCTTCGCTTGTAATATTTTGTCGTTCCAAATTAAACAATTTTTTTCAGTAATTTATTTATTATTTAAATTGGATTAAAATTAGAAAAGACTTTTTATGTTATATCAACATAGATTAAATAATTTCAAAGATCATATAATCGTGATACATTGTTTCTGTGTTCGTTTACAAATGTTACATGTGATTTTTATATCGAGTCTATTTTTAAAAAATTAGAAGCCTCAGTTCTATTCCCTGTTTAATTATCCGCGGTAGAATTTGATATATATATACATAAAACTCGTCTTATATATTTAAATTAACGACACACCTTGAGAGCATCTATATATTACATGGCAACGATCCCTCTTCGCGATTTCACATCCATAAACTTCTCAAACACGAAAGTCATAAGTCGATTAAGAATTAATGGTTCCACTTATAAGTTTTTTTTTTTTTTTTTTTAAATTATCTTGTGTATAACGTAATTTCGAATTGTAATTACAAAAAAGAAAACAACAAATATTTAAAAAATACGCAATATTAGAGTAAACTGCGGCACAGACCTAACGTCTCATCATCTTGAGGTTGTCGATGCCAAATTGTCCTTTTTATAAAAAAAATAGCCTCGGCTCGCTAAATCTAAGCATCGAGATCTGATGATTGTTGTAAACTCTCGAAGGCAGTAGCACTGTCTGGGGTCGTGGCAGTCGTGGACGTGGCAGAGATCGCGGGGGCGGCGCGAACCTCTTTGGTTCTGGCGTCGCCCCCGCAAATTACGCACCAGGACTGCAGGGTGTTGCGCCTGAGCTGCGAGAAGTCGTGAACATCCTCGGCGACAGAAACCAGGCTGGAACTCTGACAGGCGTGGGCCCGCCACCGGGAGCGCTGGATGACAGCACGTGCGACGATGAGGAGGGAACTTCTACCAAGAGACCACCGAGACCTCTCTACAGGAGGTTAATTAACTACGTGAGGCAGGCCTGGACCGGCGTCAAATTTGCTTTAGGTATATTGTCAGATTTATCGATGTAAACATTCATCATTGTGATCGCAAAAGATTAATTTGTTGTTGGATATTCCCATACAGCACAGATTATTGCAATTATATTGCAGCAATGTTGCAAGTTGCAATGCAACATTATAAAGACATTGCGGAGATATAGGTGCACAAAATTCCAGCACACTTGTAGCAACATGACATTAATATTTCGGAAATATTGCATGTAATCCAAATTCTATATGTTATATTGTAATATATATACATATACCCAGCAAACATCAAGTTACAGCTATATAATTGTTAGTTGTAATTTCCCACTCAAAAATATAATACGGTATTATAACAATTATATTGTTGAGTGGAAAATTACAACTAACAATTATATAATTGTAACTTGGTATTTGCTGGGTATAATACTGTAATAAAATAATTTTTTGCAATATTGTACAATAAAAGATGTTAACGATAATCAATAATTTTATTATCTTCCAAAAAGCGGACATTTTAACATTGCTGCAATTCAACAGCAATGATGTAGCAACATTTTGCAGTGAATTTGCAATATTGCAATATTGCGGTGAAAGATTGTTGTAATGTTTTTGCAATCTAACGGTGCTGTATGGGTTATTATATAGATAGTACGTACATACATAACTCACAATTAAATAAATAACTATGTTTTGGAAAACGCGTGTAATGTAATTGCATTCTTAATTTAATCCATCGAATTAAAGGTTTTTTTTGGAAAAATAAAATTTAAAAAGATAAAAGAGAAAAAATAAGAGAGAAAATTGTATGCCTAATATCTACTATATATCTCATATTATTTATACTTCTAATTCTGGAAATAAAATAAAATTGAGAAATAATGTGATGACACAATAACATGCTATAATATGAAATATAACGATAATGAGTTTGTTAAATAGTTATTAAAAATTAATTTAATTCTTTAGATCTATATAATCAATAATGTCTTATATAAATTAGTAATTTAAATATTATATTCAAGTTACGATAAACATATAAAATAATCATGTATATGTATATTTAGTATATACACACATATATATGCTATGCCATGAGAAGCAATTTTTCTCTTTTCTGATGTATTCAAGAACCAGAAAGTCATGCGGGAATAACATTTTACGTTTTATCAAACTAGGATATTCGATGAACTAACGTCACAATATCTTATATCGTATTTTCTTGGACAACCACTAAAAGAGCGTACTTGTTTCGCAAAACGTGAAGGCCTCCAGGGTTTTTCTGATCGACACTGCATGCTGCTCACGTGTTTTACCGACCATCAATATTGCATGATACTTCCACTAACATAATGCTTGCTTGCTCTCTGCGTGCAAAGCTCATTACACCATATTTTTTTGGATCTGCTGATAAGAGTACTCGACAAATCTAGACTGACTTGTTTATCAATGTTTTATCATTGGTAAAATTGGAATAGTTTTCTCACATTATTAACCATATATATGTAATTCTTAAATTTTTAAATACAAATAGAAATGACAGTTGTCGCAATAATTCAAAAGCGAAATATTCTTTAAAGGCAGTGGCGAGAAAGAATTATCAATATTAAATGAGATTTCGCGTAAAATCATCAAATATTTATAATTATATTTTTATGCACGAGAGTAGTTTTACAATTAGCTTATGTTATTGTCATGTATTCTATGGTCGCCAAAAGTGTTCTTTCATCACGCAATACGCTAGAGACCTACAGACCCACGCAATCTATCTTGGGAATTCGAGGTCGCCAACTTCATGAAAATTCATATAGTCCAGGTGCGGTTTCATCCGCAAATTACATTTTCACAAACAAATTTATGAGAGAAATATCTGGAACCAACGTTGTCATCCGTCCGACGTATCAGTGGGAAGGACGGTGAAATACCGTTGAAATAACATGTTAAACGTTTGCATTTGTATTTGCTGTTTGTTTATAATTTTATTAAAAAGCAAATTATCTGAATAATGTAGCAAGTTTAGAATACATAAATTAAATAAATAATAAGTTTTTATTTAATTATTTTGAGATATTATAAGGAAATTTATTAATTATATATATTTTATATGTAATACACAATATTCATATATTTAATTTTCGATTTCTTTTGAAAAAAGAATTTTTGTTCTTTTTATACATTTATTTATTTATTTTATTCAGAGAGAGAGAGAGGGAAAGAAAAAAGATTTATAGAACTTGTTTTATACATTTGATCACCAAAGACAATTTTTGTATATAGGTATATATTTTTTTATGTAATAAATATTTTCTTTATACATAGATTCTTGTAACAATTGTAAGTACATATCATGTTAAACACACATTTTGTTTAATCGTTGTTGCATTTAAATAAAATAAAGTACATATATGTATTTCGTAGTCAACAATAAAATGTACGATAAAAATTGGTTAAATGGTTATATAATAAGATTCAATAAATAATAATCCTTAAGGTTGCCTGAATAATTGTAAAAAACCACTCCTCAATGTTTAAACTCGTAAAATTGATTCGTTGGGTGTGTATGTGTTCCTGATTAGCATGTGAATTCATTGCTTGGAGAAAAATTTAGCATATATGTATACAATGTTAAGTATGCAGTGTTAATTAATCATAAGAGAAGCTGTTCTCTCTTTCTTTCGTATTAAAATTCTATTAAAACCGATTAATATTTACAAAAATATATTATGCCGACAGTAATAAATTATCATAGTAATAAAAATTATTAAATAAAAAGTAGTGATATAAATCATAAGAAAAGAAAATATATGTACTATGTGCATATATAACAAAATTTCTATATCTATTTTTATACGCACGTATAATTATTTGTCTATATTTAATTGATTATTTATTTTATATATGTACATATAAATTAAATAATAGTGCCAAATAAAATTGACTACTGTAATAAATAAATTGAAATAATTTATTTGATTCAAAAAAGTAATTGTAATATTTAGAATAACAAACATTTTCATTATTAAATTTATATCATTTATTACCAGTATGCATGAATTATAAAAGCGTATGAAAATTCAATAGAATTTTTGTTTAACGTAATCACATTTTCTTCTTGACGCGACTAGTTAAAAAGTCTTAAAAATGTAAGATTTTATACGGTACGTTGCATAAATTAATCTGATTATGCAAAATCCCATCTCGTTCTTCCTGAAATGCCCGAATCAGAATAATCTACGATAAAATTCATTTTTTCATCAATTTTAACATTTAAAAGCAAAACTCAAATATCTCAAAATTTGTTTTATCATTGATTACAAAGAATATGAATAAAGAAAATAAATCAACATTTTTTCACGATTTGCCGTATATATTTTATGTCACAATCTATCTTTCAAACAGCCACCAATTTTGCTGAACTGATAAAGCATTACGCAATTTAAAAAAATATCTGCTGAGATCTAAAATTATTTATAAGCCAAATATTCTCATTCAATTTGCAAGCGTATAATAGATTCCTGTGGGATCACTGATGTCGATGGAAGCTCCAATCAGTACCGGCTTTAGGGTAGGCGCAGTGGGGCGACTGCCCGGGGCGCCGGATCTGTAGGGGCGCTGCTGCCCGGTGCCCCATAGAGTCCCTCTAATAAGATGTCGCGACTCTTATTAGAGGAACTCTAATGCCCCTAGTATGCAAAAGTACCTATATCTCCTCACTGTGTTATACCCTGACATGCTCTCTATACTTTTGTATATCTTTTGATTCTTTTGTCTCACATCTGTATTATCATGGCTATCGCGTTCTCCGCTTTGGCGGATCCTCATCGCCACGCTTGACGCTCGACTCCCTCATCACGCGGGCGCCTTCCGTAATCTCTCAAAAACTCTAGTTTAAGCTTTGTCCTCTAAAAAACCCGAAATAATAAAAGTATATAAAATACAAAAAAATACAAAAATAAAAAAAATATAAATATATAAAAAACAAAAGCAAAAAAGGAACTACAAAAACTTTCTTACGTCCACGTCGTTAGCTCTGGGGTAAAGCTAAAGGAAGTTTTTTGAATTTTTATATGCGTGCATTCGTTTATATCCGTTTAGACTAGTAAAAATATCGAAAATTGAATGGGCGCCACGATAATCTTGCCCAGGGCGCCAATGTTGCTAAAACCGGCACTGGCTCCAATAGTCCGGCCTTTCATTAGGAAATAGGGAGCGAGTACGTTGCTTGTCCGTCGACAACTGATGCATTCGGTGTGGAATGCCTTCATCTCTTCCACAGATCCAATATTTCGAAAGGAAAGGTAGTATCGATCCCCCGCGATTCTGTCTTTCTCTCTTCTAAATATCATCCGGAATGAGAAACTTAGGCTTGAAGGAATGTTGCCTCATCGTTGACCCTATTTACGCTTGGCCAAACCGATCCTTCCTTAGGAAGTATATGACACGAAAGAGCAGACAGAAAAGTACGGAAGCAATCTGTCACTTAGATTAAATTTGGAGATTCTTTGTTCCTGTGATCATTGATACGTTGATATTTAAAGAAGGCAGTGCGGATGTAATATATTAAATTCTATGGAACATTAATATAGTAATGATAAGAAAAAATCCCTTTTAAGAGATAATTTAATTTTTTTACTATATATATTGTTGTTATAATTTTATGCCGTACGTTATTATATATAATGATCCTTATTATGAGATGAGATAAGTAGGGCCGGTATTCATAGTCAGATCTTATATTTAAGATCGTCTTAAGATCTCGTTTAACCAATCAAATAGCCGTATAACGTCATTTGATTGGTTGAACGAGATCTTAAGACGATCTTAAATATAAGATCTGACTATGAATACTGGCCTAGGAGTGTGTAAATATTTGATGATTAAATTCATAAATTTTTCTAATCGATAAGACACTTGTTCTCTCTTGCAGATATTAATAATAATTTAATGGAAAATATTGCAAAATCCTTTACCATAATGCAAGTATGCTGTTTATATTCGAGTGCGGGCTATCATAAATTC